CAGGCTAGATGATCTGTTCAGGTCCCTCCTGACCCTAGCTACTATGAAACTATATTGGGTCATTCCTCTTCTACTATAATCCAATGGATAACAGATAAAATATCAATTTACAGTTTCTTCATTTCTTCATGAATTCTCACATAACATCTCAGTTATATCACATCATAACTAAACAGTTACAGCATTCTCTATAGAAAGTCTTATACAGCTTTTGAAGTGGTTCTGGGGTAATTGCTAAACAAAAGGTAATATAGTGCCTGACACCCAACCTAATAAACCAATGGTCTTTTTGACTAGATTAAAATAATAAAGAGATTTACCTGCTCCTCTAGTATGATTAAAATCACCTTTAATGACTTTACATGATTTTCCATTGCCATTGCACACACCACAATGATCTTCCCGTGCTAGAGATCCTAATATTCCATCACAGCCAAATTTCTGTGGGAGAGGGGGAAAAAAAAGTATTGTATGGATTCTGCAATTCAGACATTGCTCACAATTCAGAGAGAAGCAAAGCATAGCTGCCCTGCAAAAGGGAGAGAACCACAAGACATTCCTGAAGACAATTCTCACTCCTTTGCTATGTGCAGATCACTAACTTCCCCACATGCTGCACTAATAAACACAGCACTTATGACCTAGGACAATGTGGTAGCTGTCATGCAAGAAGGGGTGGAACCAAGCTCCTATTTGCCTTGTCCTCTCTCCCTGTTGGTACTGCGAGCACCTAGGGATAAGGACAGTACTACCCATAGATTCTTGTGGTCCTCACACAAACAGCAGTTTTGTTTGGCCTTATCCTCACTGTGCAAGATAGGAGAGGTTCTCCTTTGTATTATGCCCCTCCCCACAAGGCTCAAGCACAATTTAATGTCAAATCACACAGTGAACCCTATAAAATATATATATTATAAATAAGTATGAAAATGTGTGGAACCTGAATTATGTACTTGCAAATGTAAACTTTATTAATAATTTATTGAAAAGCTAGTAATACAAATACTTAGCTAAATACAGGAACATTTATTTTACACTAATTACCATGCCAGGCTTAGTTCTATTGATAAACATAACTGCTAACTGGATGACAGAAGAATAGTTTCTACTGAATACCATATGCTGTTCTGATATGAAGTAAAATGTATTTTTTTAAAGTCTGGAGAAGTCATCCAGGGCAGTCAGAATCAACCGTATTAGTATAAATGCATGCAATGAAACCAATAAAACCTCAAGTCCTCTCACAGATCATGAAGGCAAGGGCATGTTAACTATAAAATAAAATAATTCTATAAAAAATAGAAATTACTTTGCACTGAAAATCTGTTTGTTTTCAAGCACATGATGATTGTTACTTCATTTCTGCATTATGGTTCTTCAAAATTGAAGAGAAGAAAGTAATACAGATGGGGATTTTTCAAATGAGAATTCTGATCCAGATTCACAAAAGTATTTAGGTACTCAAAGTCACATTTTAGCTGCATTTAGGCATCTAAGTCCAAAATTACAACCTAAAAAACCCCTGCTCAACTACTACCTAAACCTAACAGCATCCAAAGTCCCAAGTTAAATACTTTTGACTTTAAAGTTCCACAAATACCTAAAGTTATGCTATTTGAAATGCACAAAAACACCCGCAGTCTTCACAGGACTGAGTAACTCTATACTGGTTTCATACTTAAGCCTTGTTGAGATCCACAAATTAGGAATTCCTCTGCTTTGATCTTGATAATACATCAAGATCCTCACAAAATGCAGTGGTAGCTGCTGCTCTTTTTTTTTTTTTTTTTAAACAAAAGGGATGGCGAAGGAAGTCCCACTTCTTTCCAAAATAGCTTATATGACATACACGTGAGACCCCCGAAGTTTAATTCCCATCTCTCCTTAAGGATTCAAACCTCTCTCTTACTTTCCTATCCAAATATTCCTCTTGCAGAAAAGAATTAAATATTTATTGATAGAGAAAGACAGCAAGTCTAACTAATGTAGCAGTGCTTAGAGCGCTATACAAAAGGCACACTTAGGTCACAGTCCTGGCTCCAAGGAGTTTTAATGCATTTTATCTAGTGGCTGTTGAATGTAAAATACCTTAAAAGTCCTAGAACCCAGGACACTCTCCTCCCTTATTTTCTAGGGTTGTGGAAGATGGGGGCTTCATTCTCTCCAAGCAGAGAAAGGCACTGAATCTGTCTGAGTGCCCCAGGGGAGGGTATTGTTCTCCTGCCCCCTGCTGCCTGGGTTGACCGGGAACAAATCTGCTCAGCATCTACACATGGCCATCTACACGTTTGGTTAGCATCTACACATTTGGTCAGCATTTACATATGGGCTACTGCACAGTAATTATGGCACAGTTAATTTGCTACTTCATTTGCTAATTGACTGCACAGTGTCTGCACATGTAGACAGTGACGTTTTACCGTGCAGTCACTTAGTCAACTGCATGGTAAAGCATCTCGTGTAGATACACCCCTTATGTAGCATATGATTATGAGACATAAAGAGGTTGGACAGGAGGAGAAACAGCCAGCAAAAGAGGCAAGAAAGGACACTGAAGATTAAAATGCTTCCATAAATCCAAGTCAAATCTGAGGGCAAAGTAACATGTACAGAATTAGCATCAGCTCCTATTATACATGAATTAGGTCCTTCAGTTACAGTTGATTTTGACCTAAAATATTACATTTCTAGAAGTTGGCTGAATTAAATGCACACACACACATATACATCAGCATGTCACACAAATTTAAAAAATGGGCCATCCTTTAGAAAATGAAACCAATCATGGCCTCCACCATTCACCTTAATACATATATATTCTGTATTCTCCCAACTAGTCTTTCAGCTACTCCATAGATTCAGAGTTAAGAGAAAAAGTGAAATGAAGAAAATTATTTTTAAATATTAGATGACAAAATAACAAGCAGTGACCCTATATATGTGTGTGTATGCATACGTGTACTTCTGATACAGATATAAATTGGCTCTAAAAAATTGATTCATACCTGGCATCTACCATTAGCACAGATATCTAATCCTTGCAGCCCACATGAAGTCCCATCCATGACCTTTTCTGTTAGAAGAATAGGCTGATCCTTTCCTCCAGGGGAACAAAATAATGCACATGGTTTTTCTATAACATCAATTAATAAAAGAAATTAGTTAGTCAAATTAATATAATATAAGCAAAATTTTTCCAAAGCAATGTTTTGGTAATGATGTCTGGCTATCTTCATGAAGTTAATAATAACTGTAATTAAAAGTTACTTTTAGACAAATTAATATATGATTCTCAGTCTTGTTTTGGAAAAACCACTGTTTTTTTTCCTGTTGGAAAACAAGGAAGGTTTCCTGGGCACATCTACAAGATATGCTTCTGAGAAGTGGTTACTGTGCATTTATTTAGTACTTGTATAAGTGCTAAATAAATGCACAGTAACTGGAGTTACTTCACAGTAGCATTGGCGAATGCCTTTTAAGTGATCCTATTGTGCAGTAGCCTAATATGACTATGCCATAGTGTCTTGGCATGGTTTTTGCCATGCAATGCTACTGCGCAGTAGTATCAGCCTACTGTGCAGTCAGCATCTCACATAGACGCACCCCCACATACAAAACTTTAGCTTATATAATACTCATGTTATATTCATTGCTGCAGTAAAAAGGCACATACTTTCATTTTCATCTATACTTCTAATAGACCATGAAAAAGGACTTAAAATATTTCAGACTTTCCAAAATGCTAGTCAGAATAAGCAGCAGCCCAAAAGAATAACACCCCAATTTACAAAGTTTACATTGCTTCAAAAAACAACTAAGAACAAACTTTTCTCTAACAAAGCAAGTGAATTACTATTTATTCCAGTGGTGAACTGTTTTAGTCTGAAGTCAGGCAGTAAAGCAGGGTGGCACCTTAGGCTCCTGATAGACATTAAAGATGAGATGGGATCTGATGTGAGATCCCAACTATCACATTTCCTGACATGCCACATGTACACATCAGATCCCCTGTGCCATATTGCTGGTGCAGAGGGAACCCAATACCAGGCTTCCCCTGCCTGCATTGGCAAGTACAAAACTTGGCTCCCAGCCACGGGAACACACCAACTGCTCCCATAGCTGGAAGTACCAGTCAGCAGATCAGAGCTCCCAGGTTGGTGGCAGGGGCATGGTGCACACCATCATCTGAAAGCCCCGATTAGCTGGTGGGACCCCTAGCTGGGGAAGCACATGATGAAAACTCCAATCAGTTGCTTCAGAGGAACAAAATTTATGATAAAAGGTTGAAAGAACTAGGGGTATTTAATCTGGAATAGAAAAGACTGAGGTGGGATTTGACAACTGTCTTCAAACACCTGAAGGGGGATTATAGAGAGGACAGAGATGGGCTTTTCTCTGTGGCTGTAGGGAACAGGACTAGGAGCGATGGCATCAAATGGTGGCAGAAGAAATTCAGGTTGGAGATTATGAAGAACTTTTTGACTATGAGGGTGGTCAGGCATTGAAATGGGCTACCTAGAGAAGTTGTAGAACCTCTGACTTCGGAAATTTTAAAGAGTGAACAGACACTTGGCCGGGATGATTTAGTCAGGGACAATCCTCTTCCAGCCCTACTTTTCTATGATCCTATGGTATATAGATTCTGGTTAGTCAATGCCACATTTCTTAAAATATCAATTTTCCCGATTGGAAAGCAGACAAGGAATTTTCATGTCTTCTCTTTAAAAGGCCATTTGCCTAAATTTGTGAATATGCAAATAAAGCAAATGCAATTTAAAGTACTTGCATCTAAAAATGTGATCTGATTCTTTGATGAATGAATGCTTGATTAAACTTATTCTACACTGCTGTCTTATACTGTGTGACAGAAACATGACATTCTTTAAATCCTATTGTAATAAATATGATCCTTTCATAAGATGTATCTTTTTTGTTTACATCATGAAACAAATCCCTTGGTACTGTAAATAAACTTGAACTGCATATAAAAATGTACTGTTTAAATTATACCTAGTATTTCTGAGCACTCTAATGAAGACTGACAGGATTTGTGATCCAAAAGCATGGGGAATCTTTGACAGAAGCTGTAATTTAGTTTTCAGTCTTACTATTTTAAAAATAACAAGAGAAAATATCTGTTTATACAATACTGTTTAAGAATATTAAGCAATACAGTTCTTCACCTGAGTAGTTATTAATTATACATAATACAGATTGGTTTAAAGCCTCCAACACTGGCATTTTGCATAGACCCATACGAACAACACTCAATTTTTATCGAAACAATTCGAATAAATTTGTAAGCATGGCTTTTAGCATTTGGCAAAACACTGATCCAGCTTTGTTTTAAGGCAGTGGTTTTCAAACTGTGGGACAGACAAGAAGTTTGCAACAAACTGGCACCACTGCAGCCATGCAGGGGGATGCAAGGAAAAAGAGCCCTGAGCAGGCTCTGCCAGCAGGCTGCTATGTCTTGTTGGCTTCAAAATGGTATTTAATAGTTTGCTTTTTGGGAATAGGTATATGCATATACATTAGAATGGTTCAGGATGGGCAGCAGGGGTTAACTGATTTCTAAGAAGCCTGGGTCTCACACACACAGTTTCATACAGCCCTGGAAACAGACAGGCTATTTAACACAAGGCCAATGGATATACACACAGTCTGGGAAAGAGGGGGCATGTACCACACTATTTCCATAACATGAGATAAGGATAATACCAGATAACAAGGCCCCAGAGATGGGTGGCCTGAGTCCCAGTTTTGGGGGAACAGACTACATTAGGAGAAGGCCTGAAAGACCAAATTAATATGTGTGCATATGATGAGCTACATGGACATGTGATGAACACAGAGAGACCAACCAGTGACAGCCATGGATCCAGAATAATCAGGAGTCATCAGGAGGGAAGGATAATACAAAAGCAGAGACTTGAGGGTAACAAAGGGTTCTCTACCCGAGTCCCTCCGTCCTTCTCCCCAAGAGGGGTCCCCGTTCCCTGGGAGGGTCCCTAAGGCCACCATGAACAGAGGGCACACCATCAACTCATCTCATCCACCCCACTGGTGGGGGGGGGTTCAGTATCCCCTTCCAGGCTGCTGACATTAAGAGAGAGCCTCAGAGTGAAGCCTGCATCTTGACCAGATGTATCCTGACCCTGATGACAGCCCTAGGATTGGCAGTATATAGATTGCTTGATTGTTTGTATTGCTTCTTTTCTGTTATCTGTATCAATACATTTACGTATTATCAAATGGAAAAGTGGTAGTTGGTCTGAGGGTGGGCCACCAGTGCCCCCCGCCCCCCAACAAGGCATCTGGGCCCTAAATTCAGAGCCAAAAAGCTTTCAAAAGCCTGGCACGATAGATGTGCAGGCTAGAACCACAGTAGGGCCAAGGCAGAAGGCGCTGGAGCTGCGGCGGGGGGAG